TTTTTTTTTTTTCAAAATGACAAATTAACAACCGATAAATTTTTCTTAGCGACAAAGTAAAAGAATTAAATCGTTAACCATATTGAAAGTGGAAGGCGGGTCGGAGTATACCCGCTCCGGTCATGTATAAAACCAAAGACAGCAGAGCAAATGTCCACACTCCTCTAAGGCACGTTTTAACACGTCCGGCCCATTTCTCTCCCTGAGGATTTTTCTCGCCTAGATTGGATCTCCGCCTTTTCTTCCTCTAGTGCTCGAATTCTCCATTTCCCTTCCATTACCTTTTGTCTTTATCTCTACAGTAAAGAGTTTAAGGATTTAGTCGCTGCTGCTGCTGCAGATCTTGCAGCGATTTTGAATCCGAACACTCTCTGGACTTGACTTGGAATCGGTTCTAGATCTGCTTGATATTCGCCGGTTCTCAGTCTGCGATCCGAGCCACCATGGCGGCAGCCAACGCTCCTATTGCCATGAAGGAAGTCTTAACCGTAAGTATCATCTTTCACTCTTGTTTTTCCTTAGTTCTTGCTTCGATTCAGCTGTTATTTGAAAAATATGCGTTCAATTGTAGCCGATGATCGCTTCTTGAGCTTAGTTTTGTACTTTCTTTGCGTTTTTGATGAATCGTTTAGTTTCTGATTAGATCTGCGCGAAATTCCGTTCTGTGTGCTCCGAAGTAGCAGAAAATATGTAGTGATTTGAGTATATTCATTAGATGATGAATTCTGAATGATCTGATTTGTTTTTGCAGTTACCTAGCATTGGGATTAATCAACAATTTATCACGTTTACGAATGTCACAATGGAATCGGATAAGTATATATGTGTAAGAGAAACGGCTCCGCAGAATAGTGTTGTGATCATTGACATGAATATGCCTATGCAACCATTGAGACGGCCTATTACTGCTGACTCTGCTCTTATGAATCCGAATTCCAGAATCCTTGCTTTGAAAGGTAGGTTATAGTTCCAGGTGATAATTGATGCTTTTATTTTAAAGGTTGAGTTGTACAGAGAATTTACCAGGGGTAAATTTAGAATTCATCTTCATCTGAATGCTTAAGTTTCCTGTTTATTTTGCATTTTAGGATAAGTGCAAATTTGAAATCGGGTATTCTTAGGGTGTTCTTAACGTGCTGTTGTTCATAACTTGATCACCGTATCTTACATTATTAGTATGGGGATTGTTAGTGCACAGAGAGTTATGTCTTTGACTTTGACTATTTATTAGTGTGGAAACATAATTAATCTAGATAAATCGTGCATGATGTGGGAAGACCTTGACTCTTCTAGGAATATTATGCTCTTCCATTTTTCTTTGTGTTTTCTTTTGTTGGGGTGATATTGGTTTATTGGTGCTGTGGAATGGTTGTGGATGTTAAACACTGGCCGATAATTAACCAAAGTTACATTTTGTTCTATTGATACATTTCTTGAAAATGAGGAGGCTTATGACAAATAAATTATTTTTTCTTTTGATTTTCATTACTCACCTAGCTGTTTGACTGTTAATGGACTCTCACATCCTTTTTGAAGCTCAACTCCCTGGAACTACTCAAGATCACTTGCAAATATTTAACATAGAGATGAAAGCAAAGGTGAAATCTCATCAGATGCCTGAACAGGTAAACTTCTTCAAGTTTCTGTATAAAATTTAAACAAGTACTTCATTTAGCTTCCATAACAAGCTATTTGAAGTTAGTTGTATTAGCTTAATAGGTTTTTTTTTTTTTTTTTTTTTCTTTCTAGGTTGTCTTTTGGAAATGGATTAGCCCAAAAATGTTGGGCCTGGTCACCCAGACCTCTGTTTATCACTGGGCAATTGAAGGTAAGATGGTTGAATCCTATGGTGCAGCTCTATGTTCTTTATTTTTTATTGAATTGGTTTCTTTGCCTGTTACATTTGTCTTACTAATCCTCCCTTCCCCCAGGTGATTCTGAGCCAGTTAAGATGTTTGAAAGAACAGCTAATTTGACAAACAATCAGATAATAAACTATAAATGTGATCCCAGTGAAAAATGGTTGGTTTTGATTGGAATTGCTCCTGGTTCACCTGAGGTATGTGGTTGCCTCTGTTAATTCTTTCCAAAATTTATCATGCAATAATGTTTATTTGCTTCTTTTTTCAGAAGTTCAAGACTGGACTAATTAGGCTAAAATGTTTTATGTTGAAAAAGAAATAAATTTCACAATAATAATGTATTTTTTTGTTGGCACTGACCTTGCTTTTCTGATCTAGCAATCCTGGGATTCAATTTTATGTAAGATGGTTTGTGTGTTGGCAGTGTATGGTTCCTTAGATTACATTGATGCATGAATTCTGCATGAACTCAAACTGCTAAACTTAGCACTGATTATTAATACAATGACCAGATGTATGATTTTGTTGTCATGCATCTTGCTTGTACTGTCAACTTCCTATTGCATAAAAATGCTTTAATCTGCCAAATATCTTTTGTATTATTATATTTATCTTCTCTCCTCAATCAAAACCTATGTCTTTTTCTTTTTCTTTTTTTTTTTTAGTTCCTTAATTATTTTTAGATTCACTTTGATCTTATATTATTCTACTACATTTCTTGTTCAATTTTAACTTTCTACCTTCTTTTCTTACAGAGGCCA